AGAGAGAGAGAGAGAGAGAGAGAGAGAGAGAGAGAGAGAGAGAGAGAGAGAGAGAGAGAGAGAGAGAGAGAGAGAAAGAGATGCGGGTCAAAGAGAGAGATAGAGATGGATGGATTCCATTTCTCCCCGGCGGCCATGATTTGTTGCAGCGTATGACTCATGGGGGAGAACTGTTTTCGCAATTTCGCCCTCATCGTTCGGCTGCGAAGTCCCTCGATGAACAAATCTCTTCCTACTTGCTCACCTCGCTCCGTTTTCACGAACATTCGGTAAAACTGGTTTCGATATTCAGTAACAGATTCGAGAGGTTTTTGAACTCGGTCTTTAACCATAAAGACCGCTTGTTCCGGATGGATGTAATCAAACCGATTCAGAAAAACTCGCTCGAAAGTCGGAAGATCCACCCACACATAGGTACTAAACCAATGATGAGCATCTCCTCCTAATCGAGCGAGAATATTTACCTGGGCTTCGTTATCGTCATACCGCTGGGCGCGGAGCGTGGCTAGCCATGCTCCAGCGAGATGGTATGCAGGATCAAACAAATAGAGATCTGGTGGTGTCATAGGAGTCCGTGCTCGTGGTGCGGGTGGATTAGGATTTTGTTGTTGATTGGGGTTTTGCTGCAGATTCGGATTCTGCTGGTTAGTGTTCATGTTGGTCGCCCGTCGATTAGCCGATCTGCTTCTAGTGACGATGGGGTCGTGTCTATACGCGTTCGGGGGTCGAGATCGCCCTCGGTTAGCCAGATCGCTCAATTATCGTGTTGTTAGTCCTACAACCCGGCCACGTGTCGAGATCCGATACCAACCTCACGCCCAGCGCGACTTCCTGATCGGAGTAGGATGTGGGCCTGAAAGTGTGACAAGGGGTGTGCCAAGGATTTTTGGGAAAGTGGGGGTGGAGTCCCAGGTCAGAACTGAGATCTCCTGTGGCAGGGTTTCAGGGGCACGGGTGCAATGAGGCTTAGGGCGAGTTACTTCTGGTCTGTGGGCGTTCTATGGCATGTGGCATAAGGCAGATGGCATGCGCGGTGCATTCAAGGTCGTCCGATTCGTCTGTTTTGGGGGCGGCGGTTCGGGGAGAGATCTGCCCAGAATGGCTGTGTTTCTTATGAGTCGGACCTTTGGGGGTAGCCACGTGGCGTCTGTCGTCGCGCGTTTGGGTTAGGCCTCCTGTTTTCAGGGGCTCGTCGGTTGCTGCATTGCCGACAATTTTCGCAGGGCGTGCGGGGCCAGTACTCGGCGATGGAATTCCACGGGACAACTGTGAGTTGGTGATGGAAGAA